AAATAGGACCAAGACAATTGAATTGGCAGTCTCAGGAGATGATTTCTAATAGATATTTATATCGTTGAAAGGGAAAAAACATGGAAGGCTGGCAAGGACCCATAAGAGAACCTCACAGAAGGTCAGAAATTTGACCCAGCGTTCAAAGGATAAACTGGCATTAAAAAGTCAGTAACAGAAATGAAGTAAAAGCCAATAGCAACAAATAAATAAAAATACAATAAAACAAGCATCCATCCATTTCTCTGCCCTTGCCTGTCTCCTCAGTTCCATACCCAAGAGAAAACCCGCCTAGACAAATTGATAACCACTCGCTATAGCGATCTGCCAGAAGGCTTTCTCCCCCAAGCAAGGATAGCTTTCTGTTGGACAAGAGCTAACACAGGTGGATGTCACAGTTTAATGGCAGAAGCCTCTTCAAGACAGGTGGGCTTCCATGAATGCGATTCAGTAGATTTTGATGTTTTCAAATGTAAAGCTCAAGTTTTTGCAATTAAATTCATTCAGTACTTCTAAGTTTACCCACCTCCAAAAGCAGAGTAAATATGAGGGCACTCAGTAATTATTACACTCTGACCTGGAGACAAAAGTTGTTTTCCTGCCCTGCTTTGGCTGAACAAATTTATAAGTGTATGCCTATGCATGTAATGTGTTAAAAAAATTACTTATTCTAGAATGTGGTAAAATAAGATTTTTCAAATCTTAGGAAATGACCAGGTACCACCTGATACTTTCAATGGTGCTGACAGGAAAGGGAGGTATAAGGTAACTATCTGTATCAGTCAGCTTCACATCAGAATAATGAAATACCTGACACAGGCTACTCATGAAGAAAAGGTTCATTTAGCTCACAGTTTGGGGGGTTGTGCCACTTTCTTCACTGTCAACCTCACTGGATTAAACTCTTGAAATGTGACTGGGTGGGAGTCATGGGGTGCCATACTCATCTGTGAGTTCACTGATAATCATAGCTGAACTGTGCTGTTAGGAGTGGGGCCCAGTTGGAGAAGGTGGGGTGTTTTTGGAGGATATCTCTTACTGATGGTCTTCTCCTATGTACACTTACGCTCTCTTCCCAGCCACCGTGTTCCAACATGCTCCTCGACCCTGATGTTTCTGCTTTGGAGCCAAACCTCTGAAACTATGAGTCAAATTAAATTTCTCCTCCTTTAAGTTACGGGTGTTGGGTATTTTGTTTTAGAAACAGGAAAGCTGGCTAATATGGGAGTTGAAAGTTCAGGGCTGGGGATTTAGCTCAGTGGTTTCGTCGCCTGCTGCGCAAGCACAAGGACCCGAGTTCGATCCCAGGTACCAAAAAAAGAAAAAAAAAAGAAAGTTCAAATGGCATAACGAAGGCTCTATGGAGCGGGCTGCTTTGTCATGTCATGGACAGTACTGGTAGGAGTTTGTGTAACTACATCTCAAACCAGGGACAGAGAGAACAGGAGAGAGCTGGCATGGTTCATATATAACAAAACTCTGGTGAAGTTTTGCAGGACTGCATAAGAGCTACAGTGCAAGAGCATGCCCACAGTGACTGAAGAATCTCCCTCTAGGACCCTCTTCTTACAGATTCCAAACACAACTCACACCCAGGTACAAGGATCCAATCCTTCGCAATCCTAAATTCTTGCTGAGTCTCTGCAGCATGTGACCTTACCCAGGTACGTAGTGTCTCTCACACACTGGTAATAGGACACCTCAAAAGTATTCTCCTGGTCTCTTAGACAACTGGTCTTTGCAAAATAAACTTTAAGGCAAAATTTTAAAGTTTTACTGAAAGAATTGAGCTGAAAGATTATCTAAAAATCTTGATAAAATAAGATACTACAGATAATCACTACAAGAGAGCATAGACTGAATCATTCTCATTTAAGAAGTCACTACTTGGGGGCTGGGGATTTAGCTCAGTGGTTTCACCGCCTGCTGCGCAAGCGCAAAGACCCAAGTTTGATCCCCAGTACCAAAAAAAAAAAAAAAAGTCACTACTTTCAATTTTTATGAAGATAGCACTATTGTTACAATGTCCCACTTAAAAGTGTCACAAATCGTTAGAAGATACAGTAACTACTAATTTTATTGATGGTGCTTAATATTTTTTATAAGGTGAGACTTACTAATTTGTTTTTCATTATGTGATTTGTCTCTATGAAATCAGCGAAGAAATAAAACTGTTAATAATTTTTAGAAAAGGACATAGCCTCAGGTTCAGATTATGGTTTTTCTATTACTTTTGACGAGCTGTTAAAATTCAGATTAATTTTCACACTTTCATTGCTGCAATTTATCAACTGCCTTGGGAGAATATGGCATGAAAGAGAAATTTCAGAAAAATGTGACTTTCTGTATTAAAAGAGAATGAAAGACATATTAATGGGCCTACAATATTAAAGAGAAAAGTTGAAATAAACTGCTCATTTCTGCTTCTCAAGATTTTAATTACTGTACTTTTCTCATTTACAAAGAAATCTCATTCATCCCATTGTTGTGAAGCCACGTATGGGATGAAATTAAATGGAGGTTAATGTGAAAAAAGTATGGATATTATACAATCTCCATTTTCCCAATGCCTTTCTCCTTTTTCTCAAAAAGCTACCTATATCCTCATTCAGTAACAAATATAATTTGGAAGGTATGACCATTCAATGAAATCACATAATAACTAATGTTTATTAAATACTTAGTATTTGCCATGTGTTGAGCTAAATACAAATGATCCAAAAAGCTGAACTTAATTCTCTTAATTAACTGTCTTAATGACAGACAATCCTATGAGATGTTATTATTTTTGTTTTACATACAGCTAGGGAAAGAGTCGAAAGGATTATGGAAGTAAGGAGTAAGTGTGATGTGGGAGGTTATTGGTTTCATAAATATCTGAAAAATTGCAGTAATGCCCCAGGAAGGCACCACTGGCACTTGTCTTGTGTGTGAGGGGACAATTTAGTCTTTGTTGTACAATGTTGTCCTTTGTGTTACAACACATTTAGTACCCTTTATCCTCCCTTCTACTAAACACTCAAGTTTCCTCAATACCTGTGACCACCCAATATACCCCTACACATCCTCCCTTGACCCTAAGCACCACTGAGCACTGAATAAAACTCAGAAGAGAACTGACATTAACGGGGCTTCCTATACCAGATATACCACTCAGTGATCACACATACTCAGTCTTCATGACTTCATAGGGGGTGAATACATACTTTCTTCTCATCTTATGGGTGTAGACTCTGACCCTCAGAACAAGGCTAAGCAGTTTAACCAAAAACACTGCCAGTTTTGAAACCAACAGTCTGGCTTCAAAATGATACTCCCTAGGGTTGATCTTTTATAACGGTGTGGTAGGTACAATTTTCCCTCCTTTTAAGAGCTTCAGAAAATATAAACTTTTAAATCAGAACCACCGTGTGTGTGTTTGTGTGTGTGTGCGTGTGTGTTATTACGAACCAGGGATCAATTAATTCCCTGGCTAGGTTGAGGGGCCACAGGCTCCGCGGTAGTCACATGGTGTGTGTGTTCCAGAGTTGGGCTGGGCAGCTCCTGTGAACATATATAGATCTGACGTGCTTTGAGTGCACGAGTGTGTATATTTTGAGGAAGATAAAGAGTTGTTATGTAGTGTGAGGTTTGCGTGTTTTAACACATACAGCATTTACAAGGCACCGGACACCATTATAACTGCCTGGCAGGAGCTCGTTCCGGCTTGCACGTTAGAGGATGAACCAGCAGGCTGTGTACAGCGCGATGTGTGGTGGGGCTGGTTCCTGTGTACAAGGTGCACAGGAGGTGATGGGAAGGACCAGCTGTGAGGGGAGTGTGTGTTTTCGTATAGGCTGTAGCATTCCAGGCCGGAGGAAGGGTTATGCTGGACGATTCGTGTGCAATACCTACAGGAGGCGCTGCACGGGAAAGACCTAGTGGTGCACCCCACAGGGGCGTGTGTGGAGTTCCATGGGAAGGGACCTAAGTTGTGTTCCGGGCCTGGGTATGGTGCGTCTAAGCTCTGTGAATAGGGGTATTTTATGTGTGTAGTGGCGTGCGCTGCAAGTGGTGCACATGAGATGATTCACGCGGTGTGCTGGGAACGGACGGGACTGGAGGGGCTGCAGAGGAGGGCGCTGTGTAGTGATGCGCATGGAGCGATGCTGAAGGCGGTGTGTGCGCCCGCGGGGAGGGGTAGTGCTGGGTGACCTGCGAGTGATTCGGGGGTACCCGGGGGCGCGGGATAGGACAGGTGATAATTAGAGGTAGGGCGTGGGGGGCTGGGGCGGAGGCTGGGCGTCCTGGGGAACCCCGGCGGGTGCAGAGCCGCGTGGGCGGCGGGTCTGCGGGTGTGTGTGGGGGGGGCAGCCAGCCTGCTCCCCGCCACCGCCTCACCTGGTGAAGGCGAAGTACATGAGGCTGACGATGGTGAAGCTCAGCAGGGTGATGGTGTGCGGCCGGTAGAAGAAGTCGATGGTGATGTCCTCCACTTGCTGCTCGTTGATCATCCGGAAATGCATCTTGTAGTTCACATCATCCTTGCTCAGGGTCCGGCTCCCCACGCAGGCCGCCATGGCCCGCCTCCCCGTGCTGCCGCGGAGCTGCGGCCCCGGCCCGAGAAGGCTGGGACCGCTGGGGAGACAGGCCGGGGCAAACACGAGTCCAGGCAGCTGGGCCGGCTCTGGCGCCCGGCGGAGACCGGGAGGGCCGGGAGGGCCGGGAGGGCCGGGAGGGCCGGGAGGGCGGGGTCGCGACGTCACCACAGCCGCCCGGGTTGTGGGGGATGCCGGCGGGGTCTCGGCGGGATTGTGGGCACAGTCATCGTGGGCACTCCGCTAGCCTCCACAGCCGCGTGACCTGGGGCTCGAAGAGGGACAGGGTTGAGAGTGGGGCCGCTGTGACCCTCGGCTGGCTTCGTCCCAGGCGCGCAGCCCGCCGTGGTCCCCCCGCGCGACCGCAGGATGGTCTCGCCCACTCGAAGCGCCCCACGTGGGCTAGGAGCCCGGCGCGGAGCCCGGCGGGAGGGAGGACTGGCGTTTGGGGCTAGGAGCCCCTGAGGTCGCGGGAGCTGGGTGCGCGGGCTTCGCCACAGGTAAAGCGCGGGCGTGGCCTGGGCGGGCTCGGGTTCCCAGCGGCCCGGGCCTCGCGGCCTTCGGGGCCTGGCGGCCCATCGACAGGGCTTGGGTTTGTTTCGTGTGTTTCGTTCCTCGAGGGGACCAAACGCGGCCATGCTTGTTTGTTAGCGGCTCTGGAAGGACGCAGAAAGAAGCCCGGCGTGTCAACTGGCTTCCTGCGGAAGTTCCCCTGGGGAAACTGGCAGGACTGGTTCCGAAGGCGCCGGGGCCGACCACACAGAGAAGAGCCCTTTATTACGGAGCCCGCCTTCATCCCCCTTAGCTTCTGAATTGACTTACAGTTACCGAGGTAGCTATCTTGAAGCCTGAAGGACAGTTGTTTCCATGTTTGTTTCCGTTCCTGACGAAGTACTAGACACACCGTTGAGAATACCATACGATATTTTAATGCACTGAAGAGTTTTGTTTTGTTTTGTTTGCCTGGGGGGCAGTACTTGGGATTGAACCCACGGCCTTCATACTGAGTTACACCCTCAGCCCCTTTTTGAGTCAGGGTCTCTTCAAGTTGCTGAGTTGTCCAGTCTGGGCTGGAATTTGCCATCTTCCTGCCTCAGCCTCCCAGAATGTTGGGTTTATGGGTGAGTTCCACCACCCACACCCAGTTTAATCTACCTCCTTATCCACTTTTGAATACTGATTCAGGAGAGACTAAAGAGTGAATTTGGGGTTTCAGGATTTTCCTTTGAAGTAGGACTAAATGTGTAGACAAACTTGGAAGTCCAAAAAAGTTGATAGGGACCTGAAAGTCATGTTTTGCACGCTTAACCTTTTCAAAAAATATTTTGGAGCAGAGGGGTGTAGTTCAGTGTTAGAGCTCGTGGCACCGAGTTTGATCTCTCACACCACAAAAATGGCATTATTTGAAGAACGGTTAGTGAGCCTTTCCCGTGGGCCACACGTGGTGGTGGGCCACACGTGGTGGTAGACCACACGAGACTCTTGGCAGGAGGGCATAACCGACATCTTCCGGCTGTCACTTGGGTGCCTAGTAGGCTTGAGGGAAAACCTGACTTGTTTCCTACTAAAATTTAACAGAAGTCACTATTCCACAAGTTTATTGTGAGTATTTCCTTCCAAAGATCACCTTAGAATGAAAGTGAGATTTTCACTTTTATAAAATCGCTTTCAGCAAACTTAACAAAGCTACAAATCTCCAAGAATGTCAATCCTCAAGTATTTAATTTAATTCAGGAGATAAAACAAGCTGAGTTCCAGTATAGAGTAAAACAAAGCAGGAAGTTGTATGCAGTGGTTAATTCACAGAATTAATTGTATTTTTCTGTCTAGTTAGTAATAATAATGACATATATATTGAGCATTTATTAAATGCTTCATTCTATGTTTCATATGGATTAGTTTGTTTAACATAGGTTATAGACATCAAATTTACCATTCTAATTAGCTAGCAAAAATATACAATTCTTCCATATTTCTGGAGGTTGAAATAACAATGCCAGTTTGTTAAAAACAACTACTTTTTCAGTAAACATACACATTTATGCATTGCTGGCTGCTTATTTGTTTCTGTCACTTTGCTATTTTGACCTTTTCTTTGAAGGAACTCTTTCCTACAGTGAAACACAATTTGACAAAATTAGTTTTGTTCATTTTTCTTTTGAAAAACAGCTTTATATGTGGAATAATCAACAGTGTTCAGCTCTAAGGACCAAACAAGAAACAGCCTTCACTGTTCTACTATATTACTGTGATAATTCATTTAAGACAGAGTGGATTTCCTCTATTTTGTGACTAATTTATATGCATATAATTCATTTGGATAACTCAATATTACTTTGATCAGCAATGTACTTCTTAAATGTCCTTCAAACCAAATTCCAAGAACATTTAATTTGCATCATTGTATTTTCCATAAATGATTAATTAAATTAACAGATGATTTGGATTAGTTGTAATTTGAACATTTATAGATTGTTTTAAAGGTTTTTTTCACCAGTAATTTTGCTTTTTGTTTTTAAATTGTAAAGCATAGCCTTATTTTTCCAGTTCAGAAGTTCTTGTCTTTTGGTTTATAAGACTGCCTTGCTTGTGGCTTTTTCTGTGTATAAGAAACATTTCATTGCTTTTGTCATCTAAATTTACTTAAACATTTTCATTTAGAAAAAATAATTTCCAATTTATCTTTTTGTTATGTGAACACTGTTTTGAACATGTAAGTCAGTTGAATTTCTTTTGATGGTTGTACTTTTTCTTTGTAGGCTACTTTAAGAAAAATGGCCCTATCAGCCCAACAGATATCCAAATGGTTCAACTCAGTTAAATTGAGGAGCTTCATTAATGCTGCACAACTCACAAAACAATTTCCCAGACCAGGAAGAACATTGTTAAATGGCTTTTCTGCCCAGCCTCAGCTGTCGTCTGACAATTGCTTTCTCCAGTGGGGATATAAGACTTACAGATCTTCCTCCTTAAGGAATAGTTCCCAGTCTACCAACTCAAGTAGGCAAGAGAGTAATTCTGCCCAGAGCACTCTGCTTCCTGTGGTGAATGAGCAGTCAGAGATCACACAGGAGCTACCCAGCTTTGATTCTGAGCTATCTCTAGAAGGTAATTATGAGTTTTCAGCAAAGTCCCTCTTTCTCCTCTTTGGTAGTTTGAACAAACTACTTGTTTACATTCTGTTAGCCCATTTCAGGTCATATTTTGTAACAGGCAAGAAAAGGAACAATGCTAGTTTCATTTATTTACTTCTATCATAACTTTATTTTACTGACTGCGACATTTGTGGGTTAATATATATGATTGTTTTATAGCTATATATAACACTTGCTTCCTAAATAGGTAATTATGTAGATCATTTAAATTTCTTCTTTTATTAATTAGACTTATTAGAGTATAATGGAGATCAAGTAAAATCTGTCTTTTGGGATCTACACTTCTGTGAATTTTTACCTGTACATATAGTTGTGTAACAACCAATGCAATCAACAAATGGAACAGTTACATCACCCCCAAAAGTTCCTTTGTCTTGGTTTTTAGTCCTCTCCTTCCTTTAGTATTGGACCACAAATAGTATAACATTTGGCTAAGCATAATATGAATGAATGAGAGAGAGAGAGAGAGAGAGAGAGAGAGAGAGAGAGAGAG